ATGTCATTGCACTCCAGCCTGGATGACATGAGTGAAACTCTGTCTCAAAAAAGAAAAAAAAAAGAGAGAGAGAGAGAGAGAGAGAAGCTCAGATAAATATTAGGTGCCTGTCACCGTGTGGAACTTGACATAATAAGCTACATATATTAGCTTAATATATATGAATGAATTTCACCTAATAGATAAAATTAGGTAAAAAACATTATGTAATATAGCTTTCATCCACAAGGTTATTAAGTCAAAATAGAAAATATTTTTCTCATATATTTTCTCCTAGACAGGAAGGGAGAAAGAAAGTGCATTTTTGTGTGTTTGTGCGTGTTTTTTAGGAACGGGGCCTGGTGGGCATGGGGGAGTTGTATCTTGTGTTCAGAGGTTTTCTGCACACCAATTTGGACAAATTCACAAGTGGTAATGGTAGGGTGGTATATATGACAAATGAGTAAAAATATTAAAAGCACATAAACAGCTATATAAATCATAAAACATATTACTTCATGCATTTGACAAATATATTTGAGTACTTATAATTGTAGAGATGTTCTGAATGCTAAGTTTATGGCAGTAAACAAAACAGTAAAACGTTTAGAACACATAATTTTCTAGTGGAGAAAACAAACAAAAAAGGTAAATCATTAAATATGTTAGATAATAAGTGCTAAGAAAATAATAGCGCAAGGAAGGGGGATAAAGAGGTTGCAATTTTAGATAGAACAGAAAATGTAAATTAGGTGATGTTTGCATATAAAGATAAAGGCGGTGAAGAAACAAGCCATGAAGATTTCTGAAGAAAGAATATCCTGAGCAAAGAAAACAGTAAGTGCAAAAGCTCTAAGTCAGGAGTACATGTGGCATGTTCAAGAAAGGGCAAGGTGTTCAGCAGGGTTCAAACAGAGAAAAAAGGGAGAAAGCAGCAGATGAGATCTTAGAGGGAATTAGGGACCAATTTTAGAAACCTGGTGATCAGATAAAGGACTTTGACTTGTACACTAAGAGAAAGTAGCATTGGTTACAATTATTTTTCATAAAGATAGAAAATAAAAACAATAAAAATGTCACAAATCAATCAACAGGGCTCTACCATCTCCATGGACATTACCACACTCCACCTGTGGTCCCTGTTCTAATTCACATAGGTCTTTATCTAATCCCCTAGTTCTTTATATCCCATAAATATTCCATATCTAGTCTTTCACTCAAATTTTCCCCATGATTATTTAACCTTTGTGTTCTACCTAGATTCTTTTCAAATTACCACCACCCTTCCAAATATTCAATGAAGTTTTTGTTTTGTAAAATAAAAAGATTAATATCAAGAGCATGGTATGAAAATTCCTCATTAGCTATCACTACTTAGCTTTCCAGACTTATTTCTTAATAAGTCCTTTTATAATTTCTAAAATATAGACCTATGTGTCTCTTTATTTTCATAAGTCTGCCCCCCCCCCCCCCCCTTTTTTTTGCCTCATGCTATTTCATAAGCCTATAATGCTCTTTCCCATTTCTTGACCTGATGAACTCCTACTTACCAAGGTTTGGTCAGTGATTTTCAGCTATTGATTTTTGCAATAAGATTTAAGATGGAACCTTGACATTTAATTCTTCTAACACATCGAATTCCATACATTCTAATTTTTGAATAAAATTATAATAGGCTCAGAAAGATAATCTACACTTGTATTTGAAATAGGGAAAATTATGCAAACACACCAGAAACCAAAATTTCATCTTTATAAAATGTAGAATAGCTGTGTGCAAAATGCTTTGGGACTATTTGCTTTTGCTCCTCATCAAATGTCCCCTGATCCTCCTGCAAGCTCCTATCTTATCATCCATTAACATAGAAATCAAGCTCAAGTATTTTCATCCTCTGCTAGCAAATAATCTTCCTGTCCTTGCTAATAATCTCCCTGGGTTTTGCCCTTTATCTAATCACTGAATTTTAAATTTACAATGCTACCCTAACCAAAGAGTTGCCTGCTATTCAGCCCCCTAGTGGATGAAACATGTAATGTATGTGGTAAGGTGCACAGACTCAGAGGGGATGTGTTTACTCAGAGCACTTAATTATAAGACATAGCGAGCATTGTAAGACACAGAGAGCATTTTACTTGCTCTTGCTTAATATATCTTTATTTTCTTCCAAAATATACTGTAACTTTCTTAACAGCAAGCATCATGCTTTCATCCTTAAAAAAGAGTATCAATAAAGTGCTGAGAATGCACGAGATGACTGTGCATCCATACTGATTATCTTTGAGAATTTACTGAAGTCTCAACTTAGTTTACAATGTGGAATATTGACAGTAAAATTATATAGGATTATGCTTCACTTAACCAGTACTATGAATTAGATAAACATCTATAAAACAACAAAAAAAAATCAACTCCAGGCATAGTTTATAAGTACACAGTCTTCCATTTTTGACCAAAAAAAAAAAAAAAAAAAATGCACCCAGGTTAGATAAGCAAAAGAAATTTCTTCCTCAGAAATCACTTGACGTGCCACTTGATTCAAGGATCTCAACTTAAGTCTTTAGGACTGAGTCTTTTTCCATTGCTCAGTATCAATTTCCTCTATACAGGTTACATTCTAAGACTTCTTATAGTTTCAAAATGTTTGTCAATTGTTCCTGGCTTACGTACATGATCATAACTTCAAGTCTAGCAAAACAGAGAGCATTTCGTCCTAGTGGCTCCTCACAAGCCCCAGAATTCTGCTTCAATATAGTTGGCCAAATGCTCATCATTCAACCAATCCTTATGTCTAAGGCAGTTCCAGGCTTTGCTTGGCCAGCCTAAATCTCAGATGCAGAGATTTAGCCTGTGACAGAGACCTTCCTGAACCTTGTGGTCTGAGTTTAAATGGAGGATATTTTCCTGAAGGAAATTTGAGATTTTATGCCAGAGAGGAAGAGCTGCCAAGTTGAAAGGCAAAATGGCTACTATATATTGAAAAAAAAAAAAAGATGACATTAAGTTACTATGTTTCTATTGATTATAGTTCTTCATTTCCAATTTGCTGTAATTGAGATAACTTATGCCTCATAGATTCAAATTAAAAATATAATTGTCATTATCATCATATCAAGCTTCTTGACTTCTATGTGAAAGGCACTATATTAAAATTATGTTTGCTCATTACCCTAAGTTGAGATGAATGTAATCATTTCCTATTTTAAAGAATAACTAAATATAAAGCATAATTATATTCACTATCACCAAGTCAAACTTTCACACCATATTTTACTTTTCAAGTTAATAATAAGAAAATCTGTTTAAAGCAGTTTTTTCCCATTTTCCTCTTCACATAATTTTCTTTATAAATTTTGTTTACATAATTTTTATTTTAAAATTAAAAAGCCAATCTTTAGCTTGATGTTGTTAATTTTATATAATATTAGCTTGAAGTTCTAGCAAATGAAAATTAAATTGAAAACATGATTATATGATACTAATCATTTGAATACTATTTTAAGAAAAATATATGTCAAGTTGTATATTTACATTAGGAAATAGTGTAATCACACATATTTCTCTAAAGTTCTAACTATTATCTCACAGGTTTTTTATATAACATATTAGCTAACGAATACTTTTTTAAAAACTAGTATGAGAAAAAAGAAGTCCAAATATATCACTAATAAAGCAAAGCATAATAGATGCAGTCATCCTCATACTCACACACACAGTCATGCACCACATGATGACATTTTGGTTAATGACGGATTGCATATATGATGGTGGTCCCATAAGATTATAATGGAACTGGCCTATATAGGAGTACCACTTTTTAAAATCTTTCATGCCATATTTTTACTGTACCTTTTCTATGTTTAGATACACAAATACTTACGATTGTGTTATAATTGCCTACAGTGTTCAATACAGTAACATTCTGTACAATTTTGTAGCCTAGGAACAATAGGCTATATGTATAGCCTAGATGTGTTGTAGGCTATATGTATAGCCTAGATGTGTACTAGGCTATATTATCAAAGTGTGTGTAAGAACACTCTATGATGTTCATACAGTGAGGAAGTTGCCTAATAACACATTTCTCAGAATGTATTTCCATTGCTAAGTGACACATAACTGTATTATAATAACCTGGGATTCTTAGCAATTGTATTGGCCATTACAATTGCAAATGGCTGGGACTCAATTCAATCCATCTTAAGCAAATACACACAAACACACACACACACACACACACACACACACACACACATATATACACACAAGATATTAGAGTACTTCACAGAATTGAAGGAAGAATTGTAAGCCTCCGGGCATCTCTGGCATATTGAAATTGGCACTCTCAGGATACTCTGCTGTCTATCATCTCTGCTTTTCTATGTATTGCAGGCTTATTCTTTCTGTCTTTGTGACAGGTAAATATATTCTGGACCTATATTCCTGAAACTCTATATCCATAGAAGAGATATTCACCATCCTCTAAACATGAATGTGTACATAAGAGCTCCAACTCCAACACATACACATGTTCCAGTTAAAAAGCCAGAGGAGTGATTCTTATTGTCCCTTTTGGATTATTATGCCTACCCCTGGACCAATATCTTGAAGCCAGTTTATAGATTATGAATCTTTCAACTTGGCTCACATGGTACCCCTGGGGTCAAGGGCCAGGTTAGGTTATCAGAGAGGAGGAGGAGATCTACTGGGTGAAGATGTTAAGTACCACAATAACCAAAGAGAAAGTTTAGTTAGAATAATTTGAACAATTACTCTAATTCTTTATTTATTTTTGCTTCCCTCCGGGTCAAAGATATAAAAACATTAGGTAGGTACGTGCAAGCTCTGGAGTTAACAAGGGCAATATATGGGGGGGATGAGCATGGAGAGAGGCATATTGGAATCCTCAGGAGAAAATTAATTGGAAAATGTTTTCAAAATTGTCAATCTATTCAAATATTTAGTTGAAATTTCAAATTACATTAAATAAGAGCTTAATATTTGTATGCTTAGCAAAAGTGACCATGGGTGTATAAAGATTTAGAAAATTAATGTAACAGAGCTGACTTTGTTCTATTGACAAAACCCAAACCCTAAAATTGATCCCAAAGTAATGCTTGGAAACGAAACGCTAAATGTCAGCAAATAAGTAATAATTAACTTTCTACATATGTGCCATGTCATATCTAGGGAATATTTTGTAAGTCTTTAGGATATTTCTTGATGAACTCTAATCTCTAATTGAACAACTTGAGATAACATATTCAATCTCTTCTCTATTATCCTTATCACACTGTCACCTAGAGAGATAGAAAGCACAATATTAGCAGCATTCCTGACAGATGATTCTTGAATACTATTTTTTTTTTCCAACAAAAGAGCATTCCTCACACTTCCTTGTAAAATTTCTAATTTTGCCAATTTGATTTAAGTTTTATCTATTGAAGACATAAACTAAGGAAAGAATATTAGTGACCCAATCTATCTCCAGAAACATTTAACAAAATGGTGTGCCTGTGATTGTGTTTATTTATGCATGAACATATATGGAGAGGGGACTCATAGCTTTTATGAGAATTTCCAAGCCATCTGTAAACTAAAATATGCTTTAAAACCATTTAAAATGGGGGAAACACAGAGTTACTGCTTATTTGAATAGAAATATGTCAGCAGCTGCCAATCTGGAGGCCTTCCCACAGCTGTGCAGAACTTAGCGCTGCGCGCGACTGTTGCCTCTGCTGCTCCCTGGGTTGGGGCTGTTTCCCTCTACAAATACGCCTCCAGTGTTCACAGCCCTCATCCTGCCATACAGCCTCTGCAGGCACCCCAGCCTGAGGTCCACCGGCAGGGGACAGGAGCCACTGATTGCCTCCATGCTGGCCGCAGCACACCCTCAGGAACAGAAGCGGATGCTGGGAGAACGCTTGTTTCCACTCATCCAAACAACGCATTCAAACCTGGCTGGGAAGATCACGGGAATACTGCTGGAGATCGACAACTCCGAGCTGCTCCACATGTTAGAGTTCCCCCAGTCTCTCCACTCCAAGGTGGATGAAGCGGTAGCAGTTCTACAGGCTCATCATGCCAAGAAAGAAGCTGCCCAGAAAGTGGGCGCTGTTGCTGCTGCTACCTGTTAGACAAGGAAAAACCGATTCAAAAGCCAATTAACCCCTCATGGAGTTCAGCTCAAGGTTTGAAGACTTCCTAGCTTGTCCTATGGACCTCGACACCAAGAACTACAAACTGCAAATTTAATAGGTCATTTTGTATCAAAACGTCAATTATGAAGTGCCTAGAATTTTTCAATTATACAAATATGTTCTCAGGGTTCTGCTGTGGCCCAGTGTTAATTTTTTTTTCTATTGTGGGTTTTGATTTGTCCTCCAATAAATTGGTTTATTTCATGTACCCAAGTCTTACATTTCTCAATAAAGAAAAAAAACTCCATTAAAAAAAAGAAATATGTCAGCAATTTTTACCCTTTGGTCCTAGTTCATTCCACTGGGGACCTGCTAAATACATTGAATACTAATATGAAATGAACAATACTCAGAAATACATATCTGGAGCTTGTATGAGCTGAACTCTGTTACATTCCATACATTACCTAATTTAATGCTTGACCACCTTTTGAAATAGGTATTATCATGCCCATATTACAGTTGAGAATACTGCAGCTCAGAAGCATGAAATACAAAAATGTAAAATACTTTCCCAGGGTCATATAACAGCAAATGAAAACAACCAAAACCGGGGTCTATTTCTAGTTCTCAATCCCATCATGTTGCCAGGAATATGGTAGACACTCAATAAACATGAATTGAACTTAATTAACGTGTCGGCATGAGGAAAGCATGACAGCAAGATAAGACTAAACATATCACCTCTCATTAAACTGTTCTTCAAGTAAATAAACTATAATATTCTTTGTATCCCATCCAGTCTCATATTTTTTCATATTTTAAATTAAAAAAAAATACTTGATTATCATTTTATTTAAAGTCATCTTAATGGGAACAAGAGACACTGGAGACTGCTTGAGTGGGGGAAGGTGAGATGGGTGCGTGGGTTGGAATGCTACCTATTGGGTACTAGGCTCACCTACCTTGGTGACGGAATCGTTAATGCACCAAACCTCAACAATACGCAATTGAACCATGTAACAAACCAGCACATGTACCTTCTGAACCCAAAATAAAAGTAGGAAAAAAAGTCATCTCAACATTATAATCAGTTGGAAAGAACATGTCTTCAGAATGAAGCAGAATTCCTTAGAAGTCAAAAGCTGTTAAACTATCACATTATTTGTTCTGGGCACTCTCCTGCCATTAATGGCAGCATGAGGTCACATTAGCCTCTTAGATATACATATCACATTGTTAATTACAATCAAGGAAACCTAACTCATCTTCATGTAGGATTCTATTAAACCACATCTTCTTCATTTATAGAGATGCTGCAGGTTTTGGGACACAATTAGAGTATTTTACTTTTATTTCCATGACATATGAAATGTTAAGTTCAATTTATTCCAATTGTAACCAATTAAGAACTTTAGGATACTGATTGCTACCTAATATTAGCGTTCCTTCCTTTTGTAAAACAAAATGATTGAATTTACAGATTAATCCAAAGGAAATATAAATGTAGCTTGAAAAGGGAGAAATTATTATCATTATCTTATCTTTCATCTTCTTATCTCAATGATGAAATTGATAAGTGGTTATTTAGATTACACCTTTTCATTTGCCCTCAGAGGAGAGAGAGGGACTGAATCTTTTTACCTAGTAGAATTAGCCATAAAACATTTCTTCCTGCTGAGGATCTCCTCCCCTTCCAAAAAACAGAAGAAGAAGAAGAGGAAGAGGAAGAAGAAGATGATGACACACTGTGGGAGAAAATCCTTATTACTCTAAATCAACAGAATATAGGTGGGGGGTTGCTGAGGTGAGAGAGAGCGGTAGAGAAGGACATCACCCGTGACTATTTTCCTTAAATCCCTGCTGCACCCCCTGAGGCAGCACAGACAATTGGGAGTGATTAGACTTTGTCACATTTTAAAGCTATGTGAGAAATTAATTAAACTGTAGAGTTGCTAGAAAGCAACTAAAACAAAATGGAAGATTATTTTTGGTGTGTCCTGAGAAAGACATGAAGTCACATCATTTAGAAAGCTAAAGGAGTTTCTCTGAAATCTGTCCTGTGCCTTGCAGTCATAGGGTTGGGCACTGAAGCATGTCTTATGAAAATCATCAGTCTGGCTTGTTATAAGTAAAAATTTATAAAAGTCTGACTGGAAATATTCTAACTTAATTCACCAAAGTCTACTGCAGGCCATGATAGAAATAGAGATAAAATCTGAATCTCTCACAGACCCAAGGGCTGTCCCAGCCTAAGACACAAGAAACACAGGCAGAAATAGAATCCATGGAATTAGTTTGATAATTATACTTTAACCGATGAATATGTGACAGCTGTCAAGGGGAAGGAGCCAAGAAGGAATAAAGTAGGGTAGCTTATCAACTTTCGAGGTGCCTGGTTTTAAGCTTGGCTAGGGAAAATTATTATGGTTTTTGAAATGCACCCTGAAAAGATAAGATAGGATGCTGGAGAGACACAATCTCAGGGCATAGATAGGGAGGTATTGTCAGTATTTAAAATGAGAGATTTAAAATTCCCAAAGTTAGGGATAAATTTTATTAAACATCTCTTTAATCTTCTTAATATCCTGTCTTTTAAAGATTATCTGAAGAACTGTATTTTAGAACTGATAAATGAAGAGGCATAAGTTTAAGCCTTATTTTAGTTTGAAGATGAAGGTAGATCATCTTATTTAAAATTAAAATGAGAGAACAACTAACCACTGAGGTAACCCTATAAGATGATGTTTGTATTTGATATTAATATTTTCTTGTATGTATGAATGTTTTGTTGTTGTTGTTGTTGTTGTTTTTTGAGACAAAGTGTTGGCTCTATTGCCCAGCCTGGAATGCAACCTACACCTGCCGGGCTCAAGCCATTCTCCTGCCTCAGCCACCTGAGTAGCTGGGATTACAGGTGTGCACCATGACACCCAGCTAATTTTTGTATTTTTAGTAGAGACAGTGTTTCACCATGTTGACCAGACTGGTCTTGAACTCGTGACCCCAGGTGATCGCCTGCCTTGGGCTCCAAAAGTGCTGGGATTATAGGTGTGAGCCACCACACCCAGCCTACAATTAATATTTTAAATTTGTGCTTTATTAACGCTGAATATGGGAGGGGAAAACTAAATATATAATTACACATGTACAAAATAGGTAGCAAGTCCACATCCATGAGCTGTTGTGATCAGTTACAAATGTTCAGTGGTCTATTTAATAAAATTGTGACTTTTACTCCTGTGTCTTTGGTAAGTATTAAAAAGATATAATGGCATATATCTCCTTATTTTTAGCTGAGATATATAAAAATATTTTCTTTTGAATGAAATAAATGCAACAGAGAGAAGTTACATGGCATGCCCAAATTTGCAAATCATGGAAGAGAGAGACTTTGAATACCTAGCTTCCTTCTGGTACACAAAATATCCTCAATTTCTCCACTTTTTTGCATATTAGAAAAGAATAACAGAGAAACAACATAATATCTAAGCCTAATTAATAATCCATAGTTGGTAGAAATTCACTATTTGATTTGCTGCCTAAAAGAAAATATTTATGTTCCTTAGTGACAAAGAAAATTAGTAGAAAGAAATCAGGATGATCAAGAAGAAAAATATTGGGAAACTGTGAGAAAGAATCCACAACAGGAAAATTTTTACATCAATTATGTGTTTCGATCCAACAAGAGGTATTTGTGCAGACAGATCAGAAGAAATTTACCTGTAAGTTTTAGTTTTTAACATATGTTTAAGGACTCAAGCATTAATAAGTTAATATTGAATATTAATTTCTTGTGATAGTATCCAGGTAATCATTTTCAGAATAATCATCTACTTCTTTAAACAATAAAACATCATTAAAGTGATTTTCTTTTGCAATTTTTAAAACTCCCTCTGTAGTATAAAATTGGCAATTAAAACTGTACTTTATCCTCCAAATTTCTCCGCTTATGCTACAAATTAAATATATGTGAAAAGTTCTGGTTAAATATAATAGTTGTGGGGAAAAAAAAAAAACTGTATCTAATGAGTACCTAAGAATTGTATGAGACCAGGCACAGTGGCTCACACCTGTAATCCCAGCACTTTGGGACGCTGAGGTGGGTGGATCACGAGGTCAGGAGATCAAGACCATTCTCACTAACATGGTGAAACCCCAACTCTACTAAAAATACCAAAAAATTAGCCAGGTGCGTTGGCAGGCACCTGTCCCAGCTACTCGGGAGGCTGAGGCAGGAGAATGGCGTGAACCTGGGAGGCAGAGCTTGCAGTGAGCCGAGATCACACCACTGCACTCCAGCCTGGCGACAGAGTGAGACTCTGTCTCAAAAAAAAAAAAAAAAAAAAAAAAAAAAAAAATTGTCTGAGACATAATCATTAATAATAATATTGTATTATTATATTTATACATGTATGGGAAGGACAAAATAACTTTTTTCCTCTATCCTCTTATATTCAACAGATAGGGCCTACAAATTAGACTGACAAAAGACAGATTAGCACAAGGCAGAAGACAGAGTTTATTTATGCACACAACATGCATATGCACGAGAGAACTCAGTGGTGAATAACTCGAAGAAGTGGTTTGATTTGGGAGCTTATATACCATCTTAACAAAGAGTGACAAATTTCTGGAGAAGTGGCAAGACAAAAGAAAAGGGGTTTGGGCTTCTAGGGGCAGCAAATTGTGGGAAGATAAATATATGAGAGAAAATAATGGGAGATGCCACAATCTAAATGTCTGTGTGTCCCCAAATGTTATAAGTTGAAATCCTAACTCCCAAGACAATAGTATTAGCAAGCATGGCTGTTGTGGAGGCTATTAGGTCATAAGGGTAGGGCCCTGATGAATGGGGGATTAGCGACTTTAGAAAGAAGGCACAGGGGAGCTCATTTGCACGTACTGCCGTATGAATATACAGTGAAAAGACAGTGATCCTCCCGCCCAGCCTCTGCAGGAGCTGGAAACACAGACACATGCTACCATACCTGAGTAATTATATCTTCTGAGAGTAGTGCATGTGGAGAGGTAATAAACTGTTATCTAAATTATGTGACACTGAAAGTGCATACCATCAGTGAATTCTTCTAAGTGGTTTACATTTCTATAGAATTCAATTTATTTTCCTGCTAGCCTAAGTCAGAAAATATTGAAATGTTTTGTCTTCAGTGCCAATGTTGCCAAGTGAAGAAACAACCATGGGAATTACAATGAGTTATATAGTCAGATATTGATACATTGGAAACTGAAAGAATTTGGAAGGGGGTAGATCTATTAATCTTCCAAATTTTTCTTGGACCCATGCAATAACTAACAGAAACAGAAAAACAAGTTGTAGACATAATTTAAAGTGACAAAATGCTTAAAATGTATTGAGTTTTGAATAGTTGCACATCATTTTAGTCACTAATTATGTTGCAGTAACAAACAAAT